AATTCTCTTTAATGTTTTGGGATTCCACAAGTATCAGGGTTAATTCTAAAAAGTACTGTTAGCTTGGTGCTTGTTGGCTATATAATGGGGGGCAGTAGATGGAGGGAAAGAGGGGGAAAATACTGTTCATGCATTCACTTAACAAGTATATATTAAACACCTATCACTTGCAGGCAGTAGTGTTGATTGTTGAGGCATAAAACATTCCTACCTTCAAACTTATAACCTAGTGGAAAAGAGAGCTAAATCTGAAATAAATGCTTGATTTTATAATGAAGCCAGGCTGTAGAGACTTAATCATTGAAAAATATTGAAGGATTTTGAGAAAAGGAACCATGGGCCAATTTTTCATTTTGCTTATTAAGTTCTCCTATGTTTTAGGCATCATCTAAGGGACTTCAATTTGTTAACTCACATAGTTATCAAAACAGCACCCTATAGGTGCTGTAAACAGTTCTATTTTGTAAGTAAATAAATTATTTATAACCCAATCTGAATTGACTTCTGAACTCAAGTTTTCTTTAGGAACTCTCACTAACTAGAAGAAATAATCTTCTGTTGCTTTATATGCAAAATTGTGGTGTTTGCATAATAACTGAGCTCTCTCTATTTGAGTGATAATATTAAAAAATAGCTAGCTTCCTTACCTTTCTTGAACTGATCACTTTGGTTCAGGAACTATATTGCATCTCTCTCTCTCTCTCTTTTTTTTTTTACCATTACTGCAGTATTTTCCCTCTTTATTACTGTACTCAAGCAAACTGTCCTTTGTTATATCTCACATCATCTTATTTATCTGAAATTGCCACATTGACTTATGATATGATTCTCAGTCCTCCCCAAGAACTATAATTGTACGTGAGTTTATCCCACACTTTCTGCCCCAGGTCCCATGGTATTCCACACTACCTTTCCTAATCTATTTTTAATAATCATTGCTGATATAGGTAATGGGGTAGGGAATGGAGATATCTTAGAGTTAACATGGACTGGATTCTACATCCAGGTGTGTAAGACAGGTGATGTGTGAAGAATACAAAGACAGGAAAAAACTGAATTATAGAATGTCCAGCTAGCATGGCATTGGTAGATTTGATGATAATGTTCCCACCATAAGGGGAGAAATGAAATTTAGAAGGCAGATGAGTGCAATTCAAATTTGAGGTATTTGCAGAGCATTTAAGTATAGATTTCTGATATAGTTCAACAAGGACAAAAGTCAGAATTTTATAATTACTAGAGATGATGTTTGAAGTCATATTTCTGTTCCTGCTGAATCTTTAAACACATAGAACATCTTCCTACTCTTCCAAGCCTGCTCCTGGAAAGGAAATATCTCATAATATTAATTAATGGTGATATTGTAGGTGGATTTTCATTTTCTGTTTTAGTATATTTTTTATCATACACATGTGCTATTTTTATAGCACATATAAAAATATATATAAACAGGATATTTCAGAATGAAAGAAAAATTCCACAGACTTAACAGTCCCCTTAAAAAGGTCTCATTGTTAACAGCCTCAGAGCTAACTTAGAGCCTCAACCCACAAGATGACCTGTTTTATAATTACAGGCATATTTATCTTATTGTGCTCTGTTATATTTATTGCAGGTATATTTGTCTTATTGTGCTCTGTTATATTTATTGCACTTCACAGAGAGATTTTTACAGACTTCTACCAGCATAAAGATTATGACTCACTAAAGATTGGAGTGATGGCTAGCATTTTTTAACTATAAAGTATTTATTGGTGAAGGTATGCATTTTTTAAGACATAGTGTTATTGCACATTTAATTGTGCAAACATACTTTTTTTTTTTTTTAAAGATTTATTTATTTGTGCATACAGAACTGGGGTACAGGCCAGAGGCTCAGGGGCAGTGGGAGGCTTCACCAGAGACAGAGTGGGGAACAGAACAGGCAGATCGACGAAGTACACTGCTGAGGGGAGCAGCGGGCGGGTCAGGAGAGGTCTGCCACACCATGTGGTCACCTCCGGGGCAGGCGGGAATCGAACTCATGCGGAAGCAGCTTTAGATTCTCAGTGCTGTGCTTTAACCCGCTGCGCCACCAGGGAGGGCCCAAACATACTTTTTATATGCACTGGAAAACAAACAAAATATATGACCCTCACTTTATTTTAATATTTGCTTCATTGTGGTGGTCCGTGACCAAACCTGAAATATCTCTGAGGGATGCCTATGTTTATAAAAGACATTCATTGTACTTTATCTTCACTTCTTGCCACATCTTTTATATTGCTGTGGCATATTTCACATTATAATATTAAAGTATCACTTATATTGATTGGGTATACTTTACCACTACTGAAAGTAAGTAGTTTCATATTTGCCTCTTTTAATGAAAAGGCTAAAATGTTCTAACTAGTGAATGTATATAAGAACATTTTAACCAAATGATTTTTTAAAAAGATTTTTTAAGAGTTAGTAAGGGGCAGCTGAAGAGGTTGGTTGTGAATTCCAAACCAAGTTTATCTAGTTAAAATTATCTGTGCTCTTGTGCATTCACTCACAAATGCATATCCTCCTCTACTATCTGATCTTTAATTTAGACATTTCCTATAGGTTAATCTTAAGCTTTCTCCTCTTTTTCAATAGACAATCTCAACTACATCCTTTAAATATCCTCTGTCTACTATGCCTCAGAGATTTATTTCCTTAGCACAGATCTTTTGAGCTCTAGACTATTTCCAACAGACTATTCCATGTCATAGAGACAGCCCATGATCAACATGAGCAAATGAGCAAATTTATTTTCTGCCGCAACTTATTTGATAAGTAGCACCACCATTTAGCTACTGGAACATATAAAAATCTTGTAGTATCGTAACACCCTTCTTATTTGATAAGTAGCACCACCATTTAGCTACTAGAACGTATAGAAATCTTGTGGTATCCCTAATACCCTTTTCTTTCTTCTAGCACCCTTTTCTTTCTTATATTCCACATGAATTCTACCGCAAGATCTGTTAACAGTACCTCGTAGGTATATTTTGTCACTTAACACTTCTCTCTGTTGATACTTTCATTATTCTAAATCAAACCACTATGATCTTCTACTTATATAACTACCATGGCCCTCTATCTGATCTTTCCATATCCACTGCTGTTTTCATTACATTCTACACACAGTTACCCAAAGAAACTTCTATAACTGCAGATTTTGTCCTATTAATACTTCTTGCTTAAAATCCATCAATAGCTTCCTCTTGCTCTTAGAGTAAAATCCAAATTTCAGATGGCCTACAAAACGTTGCATGATTAAACTCTTGCCTGTTCTCACATGATGCCCTCTCACTGGAATAGTCTTAATGTTCTCTCCACCTTATCATAGATGTACTTAATAGTTTGTTTCATGATTTTGTTTTGTTTTGTTAACAAATAATATACACAATATTTCCTCCATTCTCTACCAGGCTAATTCCTATTCATTTCTCAGGTGCCCATCTAAATGTTACTTTCTCAGAAAAAATTTTGATTTGTCTTTCCACGGTTACATACATTTTTTTTTTTTTTTTTGCTTATTGTCCCTTTCCCCAATTTGTCTATCAGCTCTACAAGAATAGAGATTATATATCTGTTTTGTTTGCCACTGTATTTCCAGTATTTGGCACAGGTTTTGGCATTTAATAGGCTCTCAATTGGTGTTGGTTGAATAAATGAAAATGTCTTAGAAAACCATCTTTGGGGGGCCTCTTACCAATTCATGCTCACCCAGATGACCTTGATTCTTTCAACACTCACACTTACTCTTTGTGATTTGTTTCTTAGGTGCTCCAAATATTGATTCCCTCACACTTTTTGCTGCAGCTACCCATTTTGATAGCTCAGTTTCTCATCCCCTGGGTTCACTATAGCCCAACAAACATTTACACAGTGCATCTTCCTTCCTTTCATAGCAAATAAACAAATTATCTTGCACTTTTACATGAAATTTTACTGTTAGTAATGTTTAAAGCTTTGCCTTATCCTAACCTGACCCCAGACATTTTCTATAACCTGTGCACTTGGAATTTATAAACTGTGCCTAATTTTCTTCCACTCTTGGTGCCAGATATTCTCCATGGGACTTCAAATCCTTAGAGGAGTATCCCTGCACACTATCAAACAGTCAGTTAAGGTTGACTCCCTGGGAAGAATGGGTCCTGCTGCTTACTTACTTTGTCCTGATTGAACCACCCATGAATCAGAATGGTATTGAAATTATCTTTGCCCTTTGCTCTTGGAACATCGTAGCTGTTCTACCTTATCCTCACCCTTAGCAACAAGGTACTCAGAGGCCTGGTCCTTGATTTAGCCCTAGTTTATCTCAGTTGTCCCTGTAGAACTATTGAAAACTAAGAGCATAAGAGGTGAGATTCTATAGTCTGCATTTTTAATACAAACCCAAAGTGATTATTCTGTACATTAACATTTGAAAATCGCTGCACTGATGAGAATGCTATTATCCACTTTATGGGGAAAAGGCCTCATTTTGACTAAACCTATATTCTCTGTAGTAATATTCCAAGAATGGATTTGGCTGTTTTCCAGACATAACATCCAGCTTACTTAATTTAGGGGTCTGAAACCAACTGGTGGGTCGCAGCAATATGAAGCTACATAGTAATATAAGCTTAGTGTAATAGTTAGTTCTTAACATATTAAAAAACACAGACTGAAAATAGACCAACATAGATTCTAGCTCATGTCTATTATGTTACCCTATACCTTAGGTTTTTGCATTTTTAAATTTGGGTAGTAATACTCAAATAATTTTCAGACCCTAGTATTGTTATGAGAGTTCTTTGGAATTCACTCAATAGTATTTGTTATGCCAGGCCCTGATCTACACTTTGAAAATATGTCAACAAATAAACAGTTTATCCCCGCTAGGACCATACATTCCAGGGAGGATATATATATAAAAAGTACTTAGACTCCAATATGTATGAAGCACTCAATAAATGGTTGTTATTAACAAATATTTAAGAACAAGGCATATATTTGTTTGGCTTTGCCACTTTCAGGACACAAAAAGAAGTACATATTGGCCCACCTGGAACATAAACTTAAAGGGCCAATGAGACATATATTTGTTTATTTTGTAAATATAAATTCAGTACAATAATAATTCAAGCACTATGATGTACAAAAATGAATCCTTGCTCTTTAACAAATTTCAATTTAGGTGGGAATAAATGAGAAATACATAATTCTAATATAAAACAAAATGGAGGTCTTTAAGAGAAATAATAAAATGTTATGAAGAGTGCTACTGCCTTTATTTGCATGTGAGCACAAGATGAACATACTTTTGAGCGGTGGCAATGAAGTACAGGGCAAATTAACTGAGGTAATAAAGAACACCTCCTGCCAAGTGAACTAAGCAGTATATGAACCTTGGCTGTGTTAGCCTCTCTATGGTCTCCATTCGTCACTGGTACCCTTTCTCTACAACTGAGGTGATGTTAACAATGAGAAATGTTGGTTCTTGGCCAAACAACAGATTAGAGGGAGGGAGAATAAAAGGGAAAAGTATAAGTAAAGTTATAAGGAAATGTGGTTGACTTCTGGGAACACTAAGTTTCTAACTGAAGCATAGTATAAATATAGGGAAGAAAAGACTAAAAGTAAAAGGTAGGCCTTGAATAGGAGTTCGTTGAATGCCAAATTAAGGCATTTGGACTTACTTTATTAGGAATAGTACATCACAAGGGACTGTGGTGATAGGTCACAGTCTATGGTGGTTGGTGAACTACAAGGACTATAGCTGAGGGGAGAAATCAAATACTGCCCCCAAATTAACAACAATGCAAGAAAATAAATATAAAATAGGACCTCCCTGGTGCACAAGGGTTTAAGTCTCAGCTATGAAGCTATCACAACAGCCACTGCAGCACAAGCTCAATCCGCAGCCGGGGAGCTGACCCACATGGCTGGCAGACCTCTTCTGTCTTGCCTTCTGCTCTCTTCAGCAGTGTATTTCAGTAGATCTATCTGTTCTGTTCCTCACGCTGTCTCTGGTGAATCCCCTTACCCTCCTGCACCTCTGGCCTGTACTCCTGTTCTTGTGCACATAAATAAAAATAAATCTTAAAAGAAAAGAAATATAAAGTTTCAAAAAGATGAGTGCATCACTGAAGACCTTTGAGTAGGCCAGTATGATCAGAACTGTGTGTAGAATAATACATTTTAAGAAAAGTGGCATATAGTACATATCATTAATTGGGATATCATATATATTAATTAGTATTTGTGGAATAAGTGAAAATGTGAACCCCTCTGATTCCCTAGAGAATAAGATGTACCTAAAAAGCTTGGCAGACTAGGAGCTTTACTATGCAAACCTGGTTTTCATTTCAGCAGGGCTTTCATAGAGAGACAAGAAAAAAAGCAGACTGATTAAACTGACATGAATTCATATGCCTGTTGCATGACTACACCTATTGAGAGTTGGCTTAGATTCTGTTGTCACATGGAGGCAGGTTTCTAAAAACTTATCACAGGACTGTCTTTGAGAAAGTAAGAGAAGTAGTTTCTGTTTTCTTTTTTTTTTTATTTATATTTTTTATTTTTTTACATCATTCTTCATTTTGTTGCATTTTTTCATCTCAGTTGTAATCCCCATGGGCTTCCCACCACCAGTTCACCCGTGTGCCATCACCATAGTCCTATGCACTCTTCCCACTCCAGTTCTGATCCCATCCCCTTTTCCACCCCCATAAAATGTCTCTGGTGTATAGTTGTTCATTGTTTTCATTTTTACTCTATTACATTTGTTTTTCTCTCTCTCTCTCTCTTTTTTTTTTTTTTTTGGTTCCCCCGATCTCTTACACTCCTGCTATGAGTGAAACCATTCATCATTTTTCCTTTCTTTTTCTTTCTGGCTTATTTCACTAAGCATGATCCCTTCCAGCTCCATCCATGTTGCTGCAAAAGGCGTGGATTTATCATTTTTGATTGCTGAGTAATATTCCATTGTGTATATGTACCACATCTTTTTAATCTAGTCATCTATTTTTGGTCATTTGGGTTGTTTCCACATCTTCCCTATTATAAATAGAACAGCCATAAACATGGGGGTGCAGGTGTCCTTTTGAATCAATGTTTTTGTGTCCTTTGGGTATATACCTAGGAGTGGGATTGCTGGGTCATCAGAAGCTCTATTTTTAGCCTTTGAGAAACCTCCAAACAGCTTTCCATACTGGTTGTATCAGCTTGCATTCTCACCAGAGTTTCTGTTTTCATTCAATTGACATTTCCTGAGTGCCTGTCACAATACCAGAACTGTGCTATCGGTGAGTAGGGAACTCACAGGCTGTTAAGGAAGAAGAATGTGTAAATAACTAAAACTGTGTTTTAAGTGGTGTCAAATTGAGCCCAGAAATAAAGATATAAATTTATAAAATTTATATATGTATAATTTTATGTATAAATTTATCACCATGCATGCAACTCTGCCTGTGCATCAGGGTACAAGTTTCTAGAAGTTTAGAAATACTGAGTCTGTTTGAGAAGCTACAACTTTGTAGTGGACTTTAAAAACAAGTTTTAATTTTCTAAAAAACTTTTTACTTTAAAGCTTATTTGAACCTCAAAGAAAGGCAAGAGGGTGAAAAAATAAATGTCACTTTTCCAAGGGAAAAATACATCACTCTTTTCTTATTTGTGCATTTCCTTCTCAGCTTTTCCCCCTTAGGACAGTATTAGTAGACCTTGTAAGAGGATACACCTGAGACATTAAGTGAACTTAAAACTAGTGTTAGATCTCTTACATTTATTTAGGACCATAGCTCACAAAGCCAAGATTAAGGGAGACTATCTGCTTTTTAATATACTCACAAAGTGCCCCTTCTGCTGAATGTGTAGCATATGAACTCAGGGGACTCATTTCACTTTCCCATTCCCTGTAGGTGCCCCAGATCCCACAGCTGGGGCCAGCATTGATGATGAGAACTGTTGGCATTTGGATGAAGAACAAGTGAAAGAACAAGTGAAGCTTTTTCTATCTCAGGGTGGTTACTATGGCTCTGGAAAGCAACTCAATTCGATGTTTGCCAAGGTAAGAAAGATATGAAAAGGTCTTTTTTTTTTTTTCCACTTTCTTAAAGTGGGCTTACCATACTTCTGGCTTCATGTATTGCAGCTGGCTCACTTGACCTAGCTGTACTGAATGCTTGAAAACTAATGGGAGGGGCTGATCAGAGCAGACCTGAGCAGGCTGCATCCAGGTAGTCCTTCCTTCTGTTCCACTCTCCATAAATCAATTAGAGCTTTGCTGGGGGATTATAGTAATAAATTGTCCTTACTTTGGACCCAAGGCTAATGAATGACTCCTTGAAGAAACTTAGTATTTTGGAACTGGGGAATTTTACATTAGGCTTTCTTTTATTTATTTTTTTCTTAACACCTTTAGAGATTAATCACCATAAAATTCATCTATTTAAATTGTACAATTCAGTGGTTTCTAGGATATTCACAGATATGTGTAACCATCACCACAATCAACTTTAGAACATTTTCATGACTTTAAAAAGATAGCCTATATCCTTAACCTATGATATCCATATCTCCCAAACCTCCCTCCCCCAACCTTAAGCAACAACTAATCTGCTTTCTGTTTCTTTAGATTTTCCTTTTCTGGACTTTACTAGGAATGGAATCATATAGTATGTAGTCTTTTGTGACTTTTTTTTTTTAGCATAATATTTTCAAGAGTCATCTGTGTTGTAGCATATGTCAGTATTTCATTCCTTTTTATGACTGAATAATATTCTAGTGTGTGGAATACCCCACATTTTATTTATCCATTTGTCTACTGATTGACATTTGGATTGTATCCTTTTGACTCTTATAAATAATGCTGCTATAAGCATTCTTTTACAAGTTTCTGTGTGAACCTATTTCCTTTTTCTCTAGGAGAAGAATTGATGGGTCATATGGTAACTATGTTTAGCCATTGAGGAACTGCTATACTGCTTTCCCAAGTGACTGTATCATTTAAATTCTCACCAACAGCGTATGTGCTTCTGACTTCTCTATATCCTTGCCAACACTTGTTATTATGTGCCTTTCTTTCTAGCCATCCTAGTGGGTGTGAAGTGGTACCTCATTATGTACATCAGACTTTCTTGATATATGCAGAGGAATTATTTACAGAACAAGAGGCCTCCTTTTTGGCTCTTTGAATATGTTGTGCTTTGATACTTCATCTTCTCCTCCCCTTCTTCTCCTTCCTTCTCCTACTTTCTGATCACTTGCATCATCAAACTCCTGCTCCCTCTTATGTGTCAGGTTCGAGAGATGCTGCGAATGAGAGATTCCAATGGAGCCAGGATGCTGACACTAATAACCGAGCAGTTTATGGCCGACCCACGACTCACGCTCTGGAGGCAGCAAGGAACAAGCATGACAGATAAGTGTAGGCAGCTCTGGGATGAGCTAGGTAAGTCCCCATATCTCAGAGAAGTGCTATCTGTCCCATCAGCCCACCCCCTGGCAATGATGTTAGTGCACACTGCAATCAGTCACTACATGGATCCTGCTTTAGCCCAATGGTAAAAGATTCTATAAAGCCCAGCCAGAATAATTCTGAACTCATTTATATTGCTTCCTTAGCATTGTACTTTACAATTGACACCAGCATTCTGTTCAGATGTTATCACATAGAAACCTTTGCTGAGAGAAAGCCTATTCCCTTGGCTTCTGTTGCTTAGCATTAGCTTAGAGTTCTCAATTTACAATGGTTTGAGTTACAACTTTTCAGGTTTACCTTGGTGTGAAAGCAGTATGCAGTCAGGAAAAACTGTACTTCAAATTTTGAAATAGAGCATTCTGTTTTCACTTCCAGTATAGGATTCATTAAGTTACAGGAGATATTCAGTACCTTATTATAGAATAGGCTTTCTACTAGACGATTTTACCCAACTAAATTTTCTAAACTTTTAAAATAAGCTACACTGTGATGTTCAATAAATTAGTTATATTAAATGCGTTTTTGATTTACAATATTTTCAACTTAAAATGAATTTTAAGTCAAAGAACATTAGTACATAACCTCATTTTTCCCACTTTCCTGGATCTGCTCTTCTTTATCAGTCTTAGACAGATCTCTTAGACATTTGGCAGTTTCTAAAATGTGGACTTTGGCCTATTTTTCTTCCTCCACACTCTGTTGAGAACATTGTTTTTAACATCATGGTATTTAATATCCGTGGTGACCTCAGCCTCATCTTCTTTCTAGTTATCTGAGTTTCATCTTATATTTGCAACTGCCCACTGACCATTTCTACTAAAAAATTCACCTGGTTGTTTCTAGTTGGAGAAATAAAAACAAAACAAAACAAAACAAAACAAAAACTGAGTTCTTCTAAAAATATTTCCCTGATTCTGTCATCAGCCCCACCACTTCTTACTGTATCAAACTTACTGTTAAACACTCATTTTTTCCCATTCCCTACATTCAATCACTGACATCATTTTTGACTCGTGAACCTTCAGCATACATCTTTATGTCCATCTCAACTTTACTTCCGATCACCTTTGATTGATCGGGTTGAGGGCCTTGGGACTCTAGATTGAATTAGAACTATGGCCTCTCTGTTCTAAATGCTCTTCCTCAAACTCTTCTTTGTTCATCATTGGTCTTTATCATTTCCCTGCTCTACTTTTGCACTGTTAGTAATTATCTACTTTTGCATATTTTCAGAAACTCACCATCATGGCCTCATTTTTGGATTGTACCAGGAAAGTTCTGTATGGCATATTTTAAAAGTCCTAATAAAGCTTCTCTGTACTTCAGCCATCCCACTCATACAACACAGACACCATAGGGAAAGAACTACAATGTGAAGAAAAATTTTTTTTCTCATGAGGTTTATACAGGCCTTTAGGATTCTCAAGTGCTAAAAGTGGATAAAGTAAGTCTTTTATAATCTGAATATTTGTACTTACTGCCACAAGGTTCAAATCTTTTTTTAACCTCCTGCACTTACATATTAAGAATATCCTGCCACCTGGTGTTCATAAAAGTCACTGGAGTTGGTAGGAATTCCAGTCCCTGTAGGACTAAACACCAACATCCTAGATTGCAATTTTCTACCAGAAGGAAAAAATAATCAATATTACTAAATATCCAAAGGGACAAAAATAACTCCTGAGTGTAACTTTACCTTAGTTATCCTGTTTGAGCATATATCCTCCCTCCATCTCTCTGCCAAAAGAACTCTGGTTTATCTTACTATTCTCTTAAAACAAATAATTCATGTACACAAGTTAAAAGAGGGGTAATCCTACAGACTTTCAGTCAATTTTCCCTTCCTTCACATTGCTAATTCCCACTTCTCAAAAATAGCAATTTTTAATTCTTTCAGCTGTTTTTTTCTACTATGATTGCACATTTCTAAATAATCTTTCATTCTTGACTTTTTAAATTCCAGATATAATATTTTGTCTTTCCACAGTGAAGGATGAGGATATCATTCTCTAAGGATATCGTTACTCTTTCCAAACATGCTTTCTCATTATCAAGATCAATAGACCAAGAATGTTCCAAATATTTATGTTCTGCTTCCTTTTTTGATTAACAAAATATTACCTTTAAATAATGTTCCCTTCTTGCATCTTACTATAAGCTTCTTTTTCAACACTTTTGCTTAGTTATTTCCTTAGCCAATTTCATCATTCACAAGTCATAACTTCCACAAAACACTAGGACATGATCGCAGTTCAGCCAATTTATTTGCCAGTTGCCAATAACATATTCTTCATTTCATCTGAGACCTCTTCAGGAGGGTCTTTATTGTCCATAATTCCACCACTATTTTTGTGCAAAATCACTTAGTATTCTCTAAAGACTGAGATTTTATCTACAGCTCTCCTCTTTTCTTTTGAGACCTCACCAAAATCATCTTTAAAGATCCATTTATGGCAGCATAGGTTTTTTCTAGGATGCATCTCAAAACTCTTCTAGTCTCTATCCTTGAACCAAGTTCCAAAGCTGCCTCCGCATTTTAGGTATTTGTTGTGTCAGTGCCCCACTTCTTGGTTCCAATTCTTTCTTAATCGAATAGGACTGCCACAACAGAATACCAGAGACAGGTTGACTTATAAACAACAGAGCTGTATTTCTCATAGTGATGCAGCGGGGAAGCCCAAGATTAAGTGACAGAAACTTTGGTTTCAAGTCACGGTTCACTCCCAGTTCAGAGATAGTCATCTTTCACTGTGTTCTCATTTTGTTTCTTAGCTGTGCTATTTTTTTGTTGTTAATTTGTACATTGATTAACTGAACATTTTTTTTAATTGTGATAATGTTGTATATGATATAGAGGTATAGACTCAGCCTCTTCAGGTACATGTTACTACACCACATCTATCATGAAGATACCCATAATCCTCCACCATAGTCTGTTGTGATCCCTACTTACTTTGCTCTGTTCCCTACACCTTCTTCTCTAGAATCATCAGTTCTGTGGTGAAATTTCTAGGGTTTGTTATTGATTTAGCTTTATCTTACCATTTGTTTCTCCATATTCCACATTTGTGATGATGCCTCATAGTAAAAGGAAAGTGTGTGTGCGTGTGCGTGTGTGTGTGTGTAACCTTCTCACCTAGCCAGCTCAGTTTAGTATCATTTGACTAGACTTTTTCATTGGAAAAAGTATCTATAATATTTTCCCCCATTGGGCTGACTACTTCCCCAAAGATGAATCTTCCAGACTATTATTACTGAGTTATAAACCTGTCACAATCTTCCCAGAATCAAGGAGAGAGATAGGCTTGGATGGAAAGGTATCCAGTTGTTCAATATGTACATATCCATTTAATCCCTTAGTTTTCAGTATGGGAATCCTACCCTAGGCTATGTGTAATATTCCCAGCCCAGAACCTCTCTGAATCAACCTTTCTAAGTGAATAAGTTCTAATGTGTTCTTCCAAGAAGACAAAGGCATGCAACCACCTTAAACAGAGGAGGAAATCTCGGAGCATGAGACCTTTGATAAACTTCTAACCAGTTTTACTATTTTTCAGACCCACTGTCAGTGTGGTTCTGCAGCATGAATCATTCTAATTCTGGGATTTCCTAACTACTAATGGAGGTTTCTACTTTGTTAAATCAGCTGTGACTCGACACACTTTCCAGATTCTAAAATTCTGTGTCTGTTCTCTTTCCTCTATCCCATCCTCTCTCTATGTGAATCTATACTTGTTTTTATTCCATTTACTTTCATTTTAGTGAGGGTAGTGATTCATCTTTATTCCTCAAGGCCAAATTCAAATGTCATATCCTTTATATAACTTTTCCTGGCTGTATACAGAGTTAATTGTTCCATGATATATTCTCATAGGACTTCCTGTGTCTATAGCACTTACCATGCTTTATTATAATCATTATCTGGGTTATTCCTAACTATAATGCCCTGGAGAACCATCATTATACTATACTAATATAATATGTATCATACTACATAGTATAGTTTTTGTTTCTCTGTTTTAAAAGTTAAATTGAATCAATAGAAATGAATTTTCATCATCTTCACTTGCTATCTGAAATTGAGGCAAAACAGCCTTTTAAAACATTCCTGTTTGACTCTGTGGGGCCTAGAAAAGCTCCATCTCAAAGAGTTAAGAAGACACTCTGCAGCCAGGTTTACTGCTAACTTGCGATGGATATTATATATGGCTCGGCCACACATACAGTTTGAAAATATGGTCAAAAAAGCACTACCTATTAGCTATATAGAGTATGTGATACCTAATACAGCAACAGAAGATCTGAGAGTATGATGTTTTTAAGGCATCTCAATTGATAAGCAGTACCAAAATCCAAGTCCAGTGATCCTTTTTCCCTGGAAAAGGGAAAATTACAATTTTACTATGTAACAAATAATATGCTAAGCCCTTTACACATGTTGTCTTATTTAGTTCTCACATTAGCCCCACAAAGTAGGTTTGCTTATTATGATACTAGTTTTGTAGCTGAGGGCTATAGCTCAGAAAGCCCAAAGTCAGCTAACTAACAGTTGAAATCTTTTCTGAGCATCTCCTTCTCACCTCTGTCCTTGCACCAAATATTTTTCCTCTCTGCTTCTATTGTACCCTAAACACATTTTCATTTTAACATTTATCATATTCAAGTGACATTACTTATCTATTTCCCCCACTAGATGTAGCTCCTCAAAGGTAAGAAAAGGATCTTATTCTCCAGCACAAAGCCTTGAATATATAGAAAGTTCTCATAAACACTTGTTGGACTGCAGACTTGAACTCAAAATGCAAGCCCAAATCTGCCATGGCTGTCATCACAGGTTCACACAGATCAAGGAAACCTTGGGAAATAGCTCTAAGCCAGCACTGAAAACTTTAATAGATCTATTTCTTTATATTGAGAAAAGCTGGTGTTTTGGAACCTTCCCTACCAACTACAAATGGAAGAAAAGAGTAAAGTAAAGCATGACTTATATATTTAGGTCAAAGGAGAGATAGCAACACTGTAGGTTGCTTTATTTTTCAGGGGCTTTATGGGTATGCATAATTTTGAATCCACACTGCAAAATGGAAGAAAAATCCTGTTGGCTGCAACAGCTGCAGAAGTGGAGCGACCTGGATGTCTGTCCCCTGGAGGATGGGAACTATGGACATGAACTGCCCAACATCACCAATGCACTTCCCCAGAATGCCAGTCACAGCTCAGGTGAGCCAGAAACACTTTTAGAGTTTTTTCTCTCAAACTCCAAAATATCAGATGGTAAAGCCCTAGAACAAAGGTGACTGAGCAAGCTCTTCTCTGTTAGAATTGTCATTCAATAAAATGCCAAACCTTAGATAAGAATTTTTTATCCTTTTTACAAAAAAATCAGATGTTAACTTTGACAGTGGGGATTCTGTCCTTCCCTACATTTACAGCGTCCTTCTCGTGCCCAGAATAAATTCCTAAAGACCTCCAAGTGAACCCTCTTTATCCTTCAAGTTCTGTATGACTAATGGATCTTGACCTCAATTGAGGTTGGTTTTGGTTCAGAAGCCCTACCTCCAGGGAAGGATAGACCAACAAAAACAAAAAACAGCTTTAAAAACTATCCTAACAATTGCCTTTCTTATTTTTGCAAAAATTCCTATGTAGCAGGTAGTTGGGAGGGGTTATTCTCCTGTGCCACTGCTAGGGCTCTTGGCCCATTTTAAAACAAAACCAGTACAGTGATTCTGAACCGTCCTTCCTTTGAACCCACTGGCCTGGCCTGCAGCTAGCACTGAGCATCAGCATCACATCAGTATTAGTTTTTCCAACTCAGGCTATTTGATGTTGGCAACTCATTGACCCATTGGAATTTTATTGGTCGAAGATTTTATCAGACATTTACTTTAATATGTGATCCTTTTAATTATTTTTTTTATAAGATTTATTTATTTATACATACAGAACTGGGGTAAAGGCCAGAGGCTCAGGGGTGGTGAGAGGCTTCACCAGAGACAGAATGGGGAGCAGAACAGGCAGATCGACGAAGTACACTGCTGAGGGGAGCAGTGGGCGGGCCAGGAGAGGTCTGCTGCGCCATGTGGGTCACCTCCAGCGCAGGTGGGAATCGAACTCATGCAGAAGTGGCTTTAGCTTCTTAGTGCTGTGCTTTAACCCACTGCGCCACCAGGGAGGGCCCTGTGATCCTTTTAATTATAAATGACAAATCCCCTGATATTTTTCTATCTACTGTACCATAATTATCAGTCTATGTAAGGCAAGTAAGGTAATGAGAGGTAAAAAGTCTACAATTTGACACTTCTTTAAGCTATTTTTTTTACAAGCACTTAGCTAACCTCCATAATACAAAGCACTTAGCTAACCTCATAATACAAGAAGTCATCCTTTTATTATTGGCTATGGATCAGCTTAGAAGGCTCAAATGCATATAAGCATTCCTTACCATACTATATTGATTATTCATTGTTACTGTTTCTCAACTGAGGATGTTGTTTCTTCTGCAGTCTTCTCAAATTGTGGCTCATACATCTCTATACCTTTGCGCCTGAGGTAACTTACTTACTCTTCATGGCCATCATTTTCCTTCTCCCCTTCCTAAAATATCCCTAACTTAAAAGTTTGTCCATCAAAATATACTGTCTGTTATCCTCCTGGTTTTGATAATTTGTAGATCTTTAAGTCAATCCCCCTCATTTCCTTGAAGATTTTTGACTATTGATGACTTTTGCCACTCTCTGACATTACTTTTATTATAATTCATGATGATTTTTAAGAGCCACATAGAACCTTCCAATATTTTAGCTTCTCAGTTCGATGATTTCCTCTTTACATTGTCTCATCTTCCAGTATAATTTAGTCATGTAATCACAAGGTGGTCAAACCCTGAAACTTGTCATTACCAAATACTTAACGCCTTCTTCATAATCACAACTTCAAATAGTTCTAATTACCATCAGCAGTCTTACTAGTTTGTTTTCTTTAATATCCCAATTCAAATAATTCTTGGACCCACTAGAAATTTTCATCTTACCACACTTTTATTCTCATGATGACTCATTTTCTACCTTATTCAGGTTAGTTCTTTGGTTCCTCATTGTAATAACTCCCTCATATGCATACTCAAACCCCTTTGCTACAGTCTTATTGTAGCAAACCTTAACCATAGTAGTTCAGTCTGTTTAGTTACCAATTTAATTACTGCAGTTTCTCTCACCTGCACAGCTGAACACAGTAGAGAGAAACACAACCATAGTATTTGGTCTTACTTTAAGTTTATGACCGCTAATCTTAAGTGGGTCTGGAATACTGTCTAGATATCCACTGTTTCCCTAATCTGTGCCTTCTTTTACTGTTCTAAATTAGTATTTCATATCATCTTCTCCCTTAAACTTTCTACACTTCCTCCCCTTCCTCACTTTTGCCTTGCTTCCTACTCATTGTGACTATAGAAGCAATCAGAAGAATTTCCAACAGTATATCACCGTATCTGCCTTTATCTATGCCCACCTGCTCTGTCTCTTCCCTGTTTTTGTTTGTAATTCTAAATTCAGACCTTCCACTTATTCTTAAAATCCTATTCCTTCTCTACCCTGGACATCGCTCAAGTAATTATTTTCTCTCCCTCATCACAAATTTTTGTTAGTTATTCCAGTGAGTATATAGACACTGTTTTATCTCTCTTCCCTCACAAGAAAATACTCTTTTGGCCCTCACATGTCTCTCAAACTGCCATCCTATTTCTCTGAGGTTGTAGAAATAGGAAATAAGTGGAAATTTTTTTTTAAAGATTTATTTATTTGTACTGGGGTACAGGCCAGAGGCTCAGGGGAGTGAGACTTCACCAGAGACAGAGTGGGAAACAGAACAGGCAGATCGACGAAGTACACTGCTGAGGGGAGCAGTGGGCGGGTCAGGAGAGGTCTGCCACGCCATGTGGTCACCTCCAGGGCAGGCGGGAATTGAACTCATGCGGAAGTGGCTTTAGCTTCTTAGTGCAGTGCTTTAACCCGCTGCGCCACCCCGGAGGGCCAGTAAGTGGAAATTTTAAGAAAAATAATTAAAAGAATAATAAATATTTACTCTCTGTACTTCTGTCTTATTCTCCATTGAACTCACTTTGGTTGGGCTTTTATTACTCTCCTACTACTGAAACAGAGCTTTTACTGGTCACTAATGCTAACTAACCATCACTAAACCTGGTGGTTAGTTCCTAGTCATAATCTACTTCACCTGCCAGCAATATTTGTCACAGTAGATCACTCTTTCTTTGAAATACTCCTTATTTCTAAGACACTACTCTCTCAGTTCTTCTCTTAATTCATTGGCTGTTTCCTACTCTGTCTCCTTTACTTTAGGCTGTCACATCCCAGCCTAAAATGGTAGTGCCCAAACATACCTAAGTAGTTATGAAGCCACTTCTCTTTCTATACTCAATCCTATGATTATTACATTGTTTTAATAATCATCTATCTCCTGCCTGAACTTTTCCCTCTCAATTCCAGATTGGTATGTTCATCTGTCTTTTCAGTATCTTCACTTAGATATTAATAGGCATCCCAATAGGATTTCTTACATATGAAGCACCACGCAAGCCTACTCTTCCTTCTATCTTTCCTATCTCCATATGTGACAAGCTACCTTAAAAGCTTTAGATCATTCTTGATTCTTCTCTTTCTCTCTCATCCCAGATCTAATCCATGAACAAATCATACTGCTTTTAACTTCAGAATGTATAAAGAACCCACTTACTTTCCTCACCCCCCATTCTTTTTAGTCTGGCCAAATTATTATCATCTTCACAAATTATTGCAATGACCATCTGACATACTTCTATTTCTACTCTTCCACCTTACAGTCTGATCTGAATACTGTTGCCAGTCATTCTTTTAAAATGCAAGTTATATCACATACCTTCAACACCTGAAAGCCCTCCTATGCTTCTCACCTTACTCAAAAAATTAGTCATCTTTCACTCGTGATCTATAGCCTCTCCATATTCTAACTACATAGTGTCTCTCTGACCTCATCTCCTGTGATAACTAATTCTATTCCAACTATACTGACTTCCTCACTGCCCACATATTCTCCAAACATGTTCCCACCTCAGGATCTTAGAATTTTTTATTCCTTTTGCCTGGAATGTTCTTCCCTTGGTTATGTCTAAGGGCTGCCTTTCAATTTCTTTAGGTCGTTTTTTGAATTTTACCTTTTTAGAGACCATTAGTAGGCACTCATATGCTTACTGAATGAATTATTAAAAGCATTGAAAGTGTAATCAATCCCACTGTGGGCCAAGCATCCCCATAGTGGATTCTCAGTTCAGCAGGAGAAAGACTTACACTGCAGCCAGTAGAAGGGTCATTGTACTTCCACTGAAGAACAACATGAAGAAGAAACAATTTCAGTAAATACTGTCAGTGCTATTCTGATTTAATCTTCTGAACCCATAATCTATGGAACATGCCAAATTCTAAAGAGATGTGTCTCTCTAGTACCTCAGATCTTAATGTCAAAATTGGTTCTGTTGTCCTTAAACTGGTAGAAAGTCAGTTAAATGATCCTTAATGGGTTTTTTTTTTGTTCTTCAGCGTCATTTTTATAGCCATAATTTATGATAGTGTATGTTCTATTTAGGTGGCTTCCTACTTACCACTCTTAAGAAGTTAACTACTTTCTAGCTGTTTTGATCCCTTGCAATACTTTTCCTGAAGCGACATGCCATTGTTTTTTAATAACAAAACAAGTTCGTACTTTATCAGCATCACCTTTTCTTTTTCTTTTTCTTTTTTTTTAACAAAAGTTTATTTTTACAACTTCACCTTTTCTTATTGGAGAACAAGGCTAAAAAAAACTACAGGCCCTCCCTGGTGGTGCAGCGGGTTAAAGCCGCTTCCGCATGAGTTCGATCCCCGCCTGCCCCGGAGGTGACCACATGGCGTGGCAGACCTCTCCTGACCCGCCCGCTGCTCCCCTCAGCAGTGTACTTCGTCGATCTGCCTGTTCTGTTTCCCACTCTGTCTCTGGTGAAGCCTCTCACCACCCCTGAGCCTCTGGCCTGTACCCCAGTTCTGTATGAATAAATAAATAAATCTTTAAAAAAAAAAAAAAAACTACAGATCAGCTGAATAGTGTGATAAAGTTACTAAAATGTACAGGACTTCAGTTCCTTGGCTGCTTTTAATACAAATTTCATGTAAGTTCTTAGCCTGATAAGGGTTATGCTGTAAATGAGACAAGTATGGATTGACCAGGGAAATTACCTAGTTGTTTCTTACTTCCTTTTACTTCTATAAAGCAGAATCCTCATCATTGAACAGCTGAGACCACTATCCCTCTCTTTCAAATAGCACTGGGTCCTAAAAGAAATTTGCCTCCAAAATATCTTCTGTGGATAGACAACCATAAATCCCTGTGGAAAGATCCTTCCCATAGAAGACACAAACACACTAAAAGCTATCTGATAGAGAGACAACATGACAGACACCCAGATGGCAGAGTCACTATTCTCACAAACCATTTATTATTCTTTTGTCTATCCTCCCATCTTGAAGACCCAGAACTTAAAATTACCCACCATTGACAGCTGTATTTCTTTCTCTCAGACTCCTTATCCAGGCCAAGACGAACAGTGTTCACTAGAGCCATCGAGGGCCGTGAATTGCACTGGCAAGACAGTCACTTACAGCGAATAATCAGCAGCGATATATATACAGCTCCTGCCTGCCAGCGGGAAAGTGAGAGATTACTCTTTAATTCCCGAGGCCAGCCACTGTGGCTTGGTAAGTCTATCTCTCCTCTACTCTAAGAATTTCAGAGCCCAATCTCATTTCCTTCCAAACCTGAAAGAGCTATCTATGGTTGTACCCTCACCATAACTGCAATTTGGGCAGTGTTTATGCAGATCTTTGGAGACCTTGACTAGAGCCCTAGAGTATATATGTGAAGACTGAGCCATTTATATACGCACACACAAATATTCAGCTGAGGTATAATAACCTCAAGAGAAGTTTGTATTGTTTCCTAAGTTTGGGAGAGGAAAGAAGTTAATCTCAAAAAGTACTAACAAAACCATTAGACATCAGTTCACCCACTTTCTTAGCCAATAGTACTGAGCAACACTATAATCTACTCCAAAATTATATGTTTTGCAAAAAAGACACTAGGTTTGAAATCTAAATTACCCTGTGTAATGTGTTAGTAGCTAGAGCACAATCTGCATTTGTCATCAAACTGTCTTCCTTTCCTCCTTCCCACCTTCCCTTCCTCCCTTCACCATAATAGAATAAAGCTGCTCCATCATGAGTTTAAACCTTCCTCTGACCTTCTGTCAATATATTCTTAACTTTATCACAGATGCTTATTCCAAAATAGTATTTTTTTTCAATTTTCTGAGCCTTACTACAATAACATACATTTTTTTGTTATCTTCTTCCAACTCCCTGCCACTGTCCCTCACCCAGTATCTTTGACCTTCTCAAGATTTTGCTGAACCTGGGTATGTCCTTCTCTTCCTTCAAAGTCTTTGCCAAAGTCACTACCTAACGTTCCATTTGATATTTTCTTCTAATCTGATCCAACACATTTAAGACACAAATCCAACAAGCATGTGAAAAAATATATACCTTATTAGTAAATAAAATGCAGGTCCAAACAATACTAAATTAACATTTTTGATTGTCAAATGGTAAAGAATTTTAAAAATAAATATAATTTGTTTTCAGTGGTGGGGCATGGAGATAGGTGCTCTCATGTATTACTAGTCAGCATGTAAAATGCACAAGTCTTTCTGAAGGGTTCTTCAACAACACTTATCAAAAGCCTTTAAAATATATTCAGTAACTCCACATTTAAGAATTTTCTCTAAATGCTAACTAATTAAGATATGCATAAATCCACAGGGGTTGTTAAAGCATAGGCATAATAATGTGCAGGTGAGAAATGTTGGAAACAATCTAAATATCTGACAATAGGAGATTGATTGACTTAATGGATAATATACATATTCAGTAGACTGGTCGTTTTAAATGCTATAGAAGTATATTTAATGACTCAAAAAAAGACTTACAATGTGTGAAATGGAGAAACCCAGTTTCAAAATAATAATTAAAATATTTCATTTTATTAAAATTAAGTAGAAAAGTCTTTACAGGAAACTAAAATTAACGGTTATCACTGATTTTTTTTAAATATTCCACAATTCTATATTTTAAGATTAATCTAAAAGAAATTACAAAATAAACCATAAATCTTATTATAGTCTTTGCCCATTTATAAACTTTTGGTAGTTCTCCATTATCCTTAAGATTAATCCAAACTCTTTAGTATAGCATTCAAAAGTTTTTACATTCCAAATTTTATTTTTCCATGTTATCTCTAACCGCATAACCTAATTCCATATTTCAAAGATATTACATAGCATACTTTTTATGTTTTTATTTATGTGTCTTTGCTTATGTATTCTCTTTGCCAGGAATGTTTGTCTACCTATATTATAAATCTTGCTTGTCCTATAGAATACAGCTCAAATCTTATTTTCTCTATGTATTTCTATTATGTCATTTGTTTTTAACTGCTTTTTAATGATCTAGTTATGTATTATTTGTGAACTCTTTGAGGGAAAAGATCATTTCTTACTCATCTTTATACTTTCTTTGCCCAGCATACTACCTAGGTCTAACATAGTCTCAGAAACTGTAAGGCAAGTGAATGAAGCAAAGCTTTCCCTTTAGACAGCTAATTGCTGCTTCCACTGGGTTCCCATAGGACATTTTTACAAAATGGCACTGCATTTTATTATCCTAGTTATGTGCCCTTTCTATAGCATAAACACTGTGGCTAAAAGGTAGCTATTTAAAGTATAACCTGTGACTAATTCTAGATCCTTAAAAGATAAAACACAGTTCCTGATACACATTAGCTGTCAGGCTGAATTTGAGGAACTGAACTGAACACAAATCCCTTTGCTCATGCATGAATTTTCCTGATTAAAAAATTTTAACTCACCCCAAATGTTCTCTTCTCATCTGGTAGAGCATGTGCCTACAGCCTGTGCTCGGGTCGATGCCCTGCGTTCTCATGGTTATCCAAAAGAGGCCCTCAGACTCACTGTGGCTATCATCAATACTCTAAGGTTACAGCAGCAGCGGCAGCTGGAAATCTACAAGCACCAGAAGAAAGGTATAGTGATTAGGAGTCATTGTGACCCGCTGAAGCTGATGCAGATCCTTAGGGGTTACAAAGTCTGGTACTTAATTTTCAGTAAGTTTCATGGTGTGGGGGGGCCTGGGGGATTCCAAATCATTCTACCTGCTGCGTGGAGTGCCCCACTTTACCTCTATAAATCTCAGGGTTTGTTTGTTCTTTTTAACCTGTAAAATGGGAGTAACATGGCAGTCTCTCATAGATCAATTAGAAGGCCTAAGTTCTGGTGACCAAAGACCCTTTTTAAAGCATAAACTGTTTTCTGTATATGTATGCTGTCAGTAGGCAGTTTGAGTACAGATCACATGACCTTACAGCTGGTTGATGACCTAATGCCAAGTCCTAAAATTCAAGACAAAATACTGAGTCAAGGCCCTCCCTGGCGGTGTAACAGGTGGAGTGTGATACTATGAGGCTGTCCGCAGCCACTACTACATAGGTTTGCTCTCTGGCCAGGGAGGTGACCCACATGGCACAGCAGACCTCCCCTGTCCAACTGACTGCCCTCGTCAGCAGTGTATTTCAGTCATTCTGCCTATTCTGCGCCCCACTCTGTCTCTGGTGGGTCCTCTCACCCTCCTGTGCCTCTGGCTTATGTCCCAGTTCTTGTATGCATAAATAAATAAAAACTTAAAAAAAAATAATAATGTGGCAAGCTTGTTTTTGTGTCTCAGATTGAGGACTGAAAGAGCCGACTGAGGAGACCAGGCAGGGAGAGAGAGAAAGGTGTCCCTACCATTTTCTAAATTTTTGACCTGTTTTTTTCCCAGAACTGTTGCAGAGAGGAACCACAACCATCACAAACCTAGAAGGCTGGGTGGGTCACCCCCTGGATCCCATTGGGTGTCTGTTTCTCACTTTGACTGAGGCCTGCCGACTGAACGATGATGGTTATCTGGAAGTGTCAGGTATTAATGGTCAGCCTGAGGCAAGCCAGAGTGTCCTTGGTAACCCTGCCTCCCTGCTAGATTCTATACTACCTCTCTCCTGCAGCCTTCTTTTCACTTATCCAAACTGGACCTACTCTGAGAGCCTTCCTTGTCTCCTCTCTCCCACTTTCTTTTATCTACTTTGTGGACAGGCCCTATCCTGCTTTCCCATTTTCCTTTGCCAGCCCTGCTTTGCTCCTCCTACTTCCCTACTATGAATGGTCCAAGGAGTAAAAAACCAGTGGGAAAAAGGAGGGCTGGAAGAAGAGGTCAGATACCAAGTTCTCATAACAACCCGGAAATGGGAAAGAACATCCATCAAGGTTGTGTGTACCCCTTGCATAATACTCTCATGTTTCTCATGTACCAATTTTACAAATGAGAAATAGAAGGGAAGAAATTTAGTACTTTCAAATAAGGACAAGACAAAGTACTCTTTTTCTCCTTTACACTATCCCTATATTGTATAAATATATTTATTATTTTGCGAACTGCATTTGCTTACAAGTGAAATAGCTTATTTCACTGTCAACTTCTTGAATTTAATTGTCTTTCATAAATACGTACCAGACGCATGAAGGGAAGAGGGAGAGGAAGGGAGAAGCGAGATTTTGACGTTTAAATCTGTGTTAATTTCCTGAAACTTTGACCCCAAAAATAGATGATACTAAGTAATGATTACATAGAACTTGCAAGTGTTACAAAAATGATAGTTTAACCGGACAGGTAAGATTTCCTTGGGTAGAAATCCTCTGATCTTATGCAAAAGGAATAAATTTTTGGATGCTTTCATCTTTTTACATTTCACCTGAGGTAGCATTTGAATTTATTCACCACTGACATCCACTTATGCCTTTCATGTACCAGGTCCTAGAGATACTTAGGGCAATAGAATAGTCTCTTCTCTGTTAGGTGCTCACATTCTAGTGAAAGAGACAAACATAAAAACATAGATAAGTATGATATTGCATAATGTGCTAGCAGATTAGTATAAAATTTTATACTTCCCCCTGCTGACGTAATCATTTCATGTATTAGAAAAGAGCTAGGAATCTTTGAGTCTCTGTGTAACCTATTTTCAATATATTTTCTTTACTGCTCTGGGGCTTTGACTCTGTTTCCCTCTCATATCTATTGCCAACCTATATCCCAAAGTGGGAGGGAAGGAGGAGCAGAAGAATCCACAGGGCCCCACCTAAGGGGCCTTTGCCAAGTATTTGTTCTCATGCCCTGTTGCTCTCAGATATGAATGAAAGCAGACCTCCTGTGTATCAGCATGTACCTGTGGCTTCAGACTGCCCAAACAGCAATGAGTCCTACCTGTCATTGGCCCTGGAAGTTGCTCTGATGGGGATGGGTCAACAAAGGGTGATGCCTGAAGGCCTTTATGCACAGGACAAGGTGTGTCGTAATGAGGAGCAACTACTGAGTCGACTCCAAGAACTTCAGCTGGATAATGAGCTAGTCCAGATACTGCAGAAACAGTGTATCTTACTCCTTGAAGGTAAGTAAATAAGGGGCTATTTTTTGACATTTAATCGTTGTGAAGGTTCCCCGTAGCTAGAAAATACACTTGGAATTCTAGACATCAAGACTAGGCTGGTAAATAGAAGTATAAAGATAAATAACTAGCTGACTTATCTTCTTCCTATAGGAGGCCCCTTCAGTGGTCTAGGAGAAGTCATCCACCGAGAAAGTGTTCCCATGCATACCTTTGCCAAGTATTTGTTCTCAGCACTGCTGCCTCATGATGCAGACCTGTCCTATAAATTAGCCTTACGTGCCATGAGGTGGGTAACCCTTTCCCAGTCCAGTTGCCTCCACCAAATCAGAAGTCTCCAAGACTCCTTTTTGTTTATCTCACTTTCTCTCTTTCCCTTTTGTCTATTCTGTTGAACTTGCCACCCAACCTAAAATGCCTCAGTTATTTTTCTTAGGACCTAGGCTTCTTATCTGGGATTCCTTCATGTTAACCTACTACTTGGCTCCCTGGACATATAGTCTTGGTGGGTTTTCTGAGAATCTCCTGAGTTTTTAATAGGAATGGAGCATCCATGACCTAGATCTTCCTGTTCTGGGGCATTAGGCAGCCTTCGGAGGTGTACACACCTTTCTATAAGTCAAAACCTTAAGTTGTGGTTCTCAGGCACATGTCACCAAATGCATCTGGAAGAAGTAGAAATAAGACTGTCTATACCAGGCTTAGGAACAATTAAACTTTGGATTTCTTGTTTCCAGATTAGAATGGGCTCCTTAAATCTGGCAGGTTGACCTCTAGAAAGTAGCAGACCATGAAGAAGAATTTTAGTTATATCACAAGGCTGAGAGAACTCCTCAGCTCAGCCAGAAGAGGACTGCTGAGGATTTCTTGGCATGTATTTCTTATACTTGAAAAAATAATCTTATGGCTCTTGAACTGCCTTTTATATGACTTTTAAATTCGTTTTCAGTAAAAACTGTTCATTTTGAGTTCTCTAGGTGCCCACTGACCTCACATAGAGTTATTTCACTCTAGGTTTTAAACCCTTCAAAGCTTAGTTAATCCTTTCCCACCCAGTTCCTCCCCAGCAAAGAACAAGCTTCTCTAAAGAACAAATTCTAAGGAACAAGTGGCTCAGAATGGCAAGTGTCTGGATGGTGGCTGATGACTCTTCCTGGATCTTCTAGGTTACCTGTTCTAGAAAACTCCACCACTACAGGCGATACATCACACCCTCACCATATGGTGTCTGTGGTGCCCAGCCGTTATCCTCGCTGGTTCACGCTTGGACACTTGGAATCACAGCAGTGTGAACTGGCCTCCACCATGCTGACTGCAGCCAAAGGTGAGCATAGACAGACCTCAGGCTCTAGCTTGCCCACTATGCCTGGCCAGTCCCAGCCTGTCAAAAGCTTGGCCTACAGTCTCCTGAAGGGCAGAAACTACTCATCCTCCCTTTACTACTTGAGTGATAATGGTCTTCACTTTAATTTTTCCAGTAGGATGAGCACCTCCTCATAGCCAGAGTTTTGTTAGAATCCTGAGTACATGAACTAAAATCATCTTTTAGCTCTAAATTGCCTTCTGTTTATACATGATACTTCACTTGTTCAAAGCCCCAGGATCAAAATCTGTAAAATGGGGGTCACTATCAATAACCTATCATCTTCCCAAAGCCATTAGCAGATCCAATTAAATGATAACTAAGATAGAGCCACAAATCTCTTTATAGATAGGAGTTTGTGGTTTTCTTCCATACCTGCTAGTCAGAAGACAGGCAGCCCAAAGTACTTTTAGGCTTTTAAGCTCACACTCTCCCTGTTAGTTATACAAGTTTCACCATAAGCTGGTTTAAAATTTATTTATGACTAGATTGGTCAAGAAAAAAGAGCACAAAAAATATCAATGTCAAGAATAAGAAAGGTTACATAGCAACAAATTCTGAAGACATTAAAATGATAATAAATGAACATTGTGAACAACTTTATGACAGTAAATTCAGCAGCGTGAATTAAATGAAACAAGTACTTGAAAGACACAACCTGTCAAAGCTCACTCAAGAATAAATAAAATAGAGCCATTAAAAAGTAAAAAAAAAAATTAAAACATGGACTCAAACAGTGGAATCAGTATGAATAGGAATGAATTATCGATACAGACTGTAAGGGTGAGTTTCAAAAGTTATACTGAGTGAAAGAAAAACAGGCCAAAGGAAGACTCCATATTGTATTATTCCACTTATATAAAATTATAGAAAATGCATATTGAAGTCACCAAGGAAGATCAGCAGTTTCCTAGGAATGGGACGCAGGGCCAGCTAAACAGGTCACAAGGAAACTTTCAGTGTGAGGGATATGTTCATTATCTAGATTGTGGTGAAGGTTTCTTAAGTTTTACCAATTGTACATTTAAAATTTGTGCTGATTATTGTATACCAGTCATATGTCAGTAAAGCTCTAAATAAATATATAGATAAGTAAGAATATCAGTAATAAATAATTAGATTGCCAACTGATGATTATGGAAGGAAAGATTATGGAAGGAAATATATACTTGGCAATCATAATGCTTAATTTAGTCTAGAATGTCAGTAGATACTAAAATTAATGTGTGAACATTGATGAGTGATATTTATATGGTCTTAGACTATTACCTCCACAAAATACTTGTTTGTTAGCTATAAAGGGAAAATATGTAACTTTACAGTAGAGAAAACTTGCACCACAGTTAATACCATCAATAATAGATCAAGTCAAAATCATATACCACCAGACAGAAAGCATTGAGAACTCTGCACCACTTCTGTGATGTTATAGCACAAATGCAAACCTACATCTAATCACAAGGAAAGAGTAGTCAATCTACACTGAAGGACATATAACAAAGTAGTTAATCTTCACAAGTGACAAGGTCATGATGTGAAGGGAAGACTGAAAAAATCTTCAAAACTGACAAAGACTAAAGATAATTGACAGAATAAATAAAACATTTGCTATAAAATCCCTTTTTTAAAAAAGTACATTATTGGGACAGTTGGTGAAATTTGAATGGGGCCTGTAGTAGATGATAGTAATAAATCAATATTAATGTCCTGATTTTGATGGTTGTGTTGTAGTAATAGAAGTGTGTCCTTGTTTGCTGAAAATATAAACAGTATTCAGGAGTGATGGGTATCAAATCAGTTATTTACTTTTGAATGGTTCAGGGGGAAAAAGAACTCTCTGTAACTCTCGAAACTTCTGTAAGTTTGAAATTATCTCAAAATAAAACAAAAAAAACATTTTGGTAGAACATTGTGTTTTCAAAGGTGTATAGTGGGAGTATGAATTAGTAACCCTTGTGGTGGGCAATTTGGCATATCAAAATTACAATGCATATTTCCTTTAACCAAATAGAAGTAATTTTATCCCTAGGGTTTTATCTTACAAATGCGAAGTGATGATTGTACAGGATTATTCATGCTATTGTAAAATATTTGAAACATTCTAAATACCCATCAATAGGAAGCTAGTTAAAAATAATTCTTTAGGTCCAAGCTTTCTTACACACAATTCAAAATCCAGACTTTTTTAAGTTTGATGGCAAAACCTGACTTTAACAGACACAAGACATTAGTTGTTTCTCAACATCCTTGCCAACTATAGACATCTCTGTTGTTCATTAATACTATGATGTGATTTTTTGTTTCTGTTGGTATTTTGTTAGTTTGACTTTTATTGCCCTGTAAAAAAAAATGTGCAGAAAATTGAAGATGCTTCTGTCAATAAAAATAAGAAAGTATGTATCATTATCAGTAGCACAGAAAATAGAATTAATACAAAAGCTTAATCAGATATCTCAGAAGCACCTCACTAAAGAATAAGGGGAGGGGAAGAACAGAAGGACAGAGTGTTGAGGTTTTACAGGGACAGCAATGACAAGAACTAACAAAGAATAGAAAAAATTTCAGAGGGCAAAAAATGAAGATGTTGACATGACCAGAATTGAATGGATTCAATGATTAAGCAGTGTGACTAGTTTGTTGGTCATGAAACAATTTAGAGTATGCCATGAAAGACTGAACATTTAAGGTAAGTACAGAATATCAGAAGATCGGCTGCAGAAATTCAAGAAACATTGTGGTATAAAATATGTAGATATTTATGATGAAAAATTCTCCGCTTATCATGAAGTAGGTGAAATTTTTATTGACAAATTTAATATTGTTTTTAATGAAAACCTTTGTCCCAAACTTGTATACAATGCTAAGGAGAGTTCTGTTCTGGCCAATATTCTTTTTTTTTTTTTAATTAACAATGATTGATGAGCAAACAACAGGTATTAAGGACTAAACATGGTAGAAAGTTCTGGAATGTGTCAATGTAGCATACAGGTAAAGCTAGAAAAGGCTAACATCCAATGTGTTTCAAGATTGCTCATAATTTTTTTGTTAATAAATAAACAAAAAAGTATCAGTAACCAAAATATGTTCTAGCCGTCTCTGTTATCTATGTTGATGACATTAGCTCATTACATTTAAGCTGGAATAGATGAAATTGTTAAATTATTTTACTCTTGGACCACTATTCTACATATAACCTCTCCTGAATCTCTCGTGACCAAGAAATTTTACTCCCAATGAAGAGAAGATACAAACATTTGTTGTTATTTTATTTTCAGCTGTTAGCTTCTATATGTTTCTGGAAGAGCTATTGCAGAAGCTTGGTCAGGTACACCACAGTGATTGCATTTACATAGTTGCTGCTACTTGGAATGAGTGATAAATATTTGGCAGACTGTGGCTTTTGGTAATGTTTGAAAGTGAACCTGTAGCTAAAGACTGAAATATTTGTGTCACTACTGAAAAGATATATAGCCTCATTAATTACACCAAAATTTGTTAATTTAAAACCTAAGTAAGTCACAGGCCTGCTAATCTAGTGTAGCCAGCAAACAAACAGCAGCAACATCTGGAAGCTTAAAAGAAATATAAGTCCCTACACCTACCAGATCAGACTGTGGGGGTGTTGCCCAAGAATCTATGTTTTAACAAATTCTTCAGATGACTTTTATATTAGTAAGGTAGAAGCACTAACTTAGAGAAAGCTAATATGGAAAAAAATACTAAATATTATATATCTGTTATACATTCCTTGTGAGACTTGCAAATTACTAACATGGTGTTAACTCAAATAAGCATGAGGCTAGTAGTGATGACAAGATGTAAAAAGATTTGGGGGGAGGGCCAATGCTATAAACAACAAAGAGGAAATGTCTGAGCAGAACTGCATTCAGCAGTGAAAAAATGAGACTGTGGTGACTTACTTAAATGAAGAAATGCATGTAATGTAGAAATCCATGTTAATGAGATTGCCCTAGAACTATACCTTTTTATGTTGTAAGATTTGTTTACGCATACAAGAACTGGGGTGCAGGCCAGAGGTTCAGGAGGTGAAAGGATTCATCATAGACAGAATGGGGAGCAGAATGGTCAGAGCCACTGAAATACATTGCTCAGGGGAGCAGCAGGCAACACGGGAGGTCTGAGCTGGGGTCAGACTTGGGCTATAGTGACTGCCAGTAACTATAGTGCTGTGTCTTTAACCCCTGTGTCACCAGGGAGGCCCCAGCTATACCTTTTTAAAGGTCATTTGCTGTAGTGTTACAGCATCATTAAATATCCAATTATAGTCTTTAGTGCCAATAACAGCAATACTGATGAAGTCTTTTGTCCATGACCCTTAATAGACCAGAGCTAACAGTTTTTACATGCATATATATAGCTATTTGCTTGATGTTTCATAGAACGTTTTCCTTAGAAATAAAAAGGGTACCAACTATTTATGGACTATATCACATTAGTTCTTTTATCAGTTTACTGATAAAATACTACAATATAGTCAGTAAGCTACAGTACTAATTTTGTTCCTTACTCCACCTAGTATGAGTATTCATATATTCATTGTACAAATAGTAATGTGTATAACTACAGGATACTGCCCAAGCCCACTGTTTGCATATTACATAAAATACATGTACAGTTTATCTCTCACAACTCTAAATTCTAAATAGACTTAGTGCAAAAGCTTGGTCAGATATATCTCAGAGACATCTTACTAAACTCTTGTGTTTTTAATAAGGAGTTGTGGATCTCTACATCCATAAATTAAATACTATGCAGTCATTTAAAAGTACAAGGAACTGTTTATATGCTGAAAAGATTAATCTCTAAGATATATTAATATGGAAGGAAAATAATATATAAACTTGTGTATACTATGCTATCATTTGTGGTTGTATCCCCCACACACACACACAAAAAAAAGAGGAAATAGGTCATGTATCTCCTTTTAATGCATCAAGACT